TATTCTGCATAAGATGCAACCCATATGCAAACGTGCAGAACTACAACAATAAATTGCGGCATCCTCCCTTATGGGAATTAACATTGGGCATCTCTCCGCATAGCTGTAGGCATCTCTCCGTACCTGGGGGGGAGAGTTGCCAGAAAACACTTTTTTTCCGTTATTTTTTTTTGTAGTAGAGTTTTTTTTATGTTGTTCTAGGACCAATATTTCAATGAAAAATAGATGAAAGAATGATCGTATGTTTTTTGAGATACATATTTTTTGTTACTCGGGTTTTTATATATTTTTTTCAAAAAGTGCGGCATCTATCCGTATTTTACCCTATGCCACGCAGCACATTGAATTACATCCTCCCGAAATCAATACAATAATGCCGAATGGAATTGCATGCGTTTCCTTCCTAAACGCCGAGCTGCGCCTAAGTTGTTCAGGAACGCGTGACTACCTACAGACCGGTTTCGAGCTGTTGGCTCTCATCAGTGCAGGGCTGTCCCAGATAGCTTCTCGACCGCTATCTGGTGCAGACATGACCCGAAGTGAACGCATCTCAGCATTTTTTAATATACAGTACTGACATTATTTTGGCACACTGTATTCACGACATGACTTCTCCGAACATCCTCTATAGAGGAACAGCTGGATCGGATATAATATTCTGTATCTACTCAATGCAAACTATCCGTTTAATATTCTTTTTTGTATGTCTTTTATCGAAACCCTTGAAGAGAACGTTTCCAATATCGTCTACACTACACATCGATCGCCACTTGGGAACTCTCTACCTACTCTTGAAGGAATATTCTATTATTGCGTGGTTTATGTAATATTTGTTCACTAGGTACTAGCACATTTTTTCACAACAAGAAATTTTCAGTAATTAGTGAACAGTCAATTTCGTTATTGGAAAGTTTCTTATAGAGCTTTCAGACGAGTTGAATTTCAAAGACAGAGCATTGGAGGGAAGATAAATTATTTTAATTGTTTTGATTACTTACTGACTTCAAGATATTCGGGTTATACATAATATTGATAATATGTTGCATGATTACAAAAAGTGTCAGTGACACGATTTTTGATTGTGCAGGAACTTTGAGATGTACTAGGGCTTCGCGAGACCAAGACGGATCAATTCTTGGAAATACTCCAACAGGCAATGAATTCCAGAGCTTTTCCGTTCTATAAACAAACGAGTTTTGATAAAATGTCGTTCGAAACATGGCAAATTAGCAACATGTGCATTTGTTCCGTCCGTTTTGTTCCTGGAAATACACCAAGCCACAAAATGAAACATTATCAATGGTTCAGTTACTCTTTGCATGTGTACGATCACTATATTCTCCTTATCAATGTCAATCAATCAATCAAAATATACTTCATTGTCATAATGAATGAGATTTATTTATTTTTATTTATTTAAGGTTTCTCTCTTACAAACACAGCCAGGAGTATTTACATATAAGAGATAGTGCTTCAAAACATAAAGACTTAGAGCTAACTTAGAAAACTAAACTTAAAAACTACGGAGGTACTATAAAATACATTCAATATTGAATACTGCTGATTTTATTTCTTTTGAATTACAGTTGAGAAAATCAATATTGCACCTTTCTGCAAGTATATTACATTGTCGTAGCATTTCATTCATAGGAGAACAATCTAGTTGATTTGTATAAAAGAAATTCTTGTTATTTATTCTTAAATTTACTTTGGGTACTAATATTTTTATAAAGTTGACTAGAAATGAATCATTGTATTTTATACTATTGATAATATAATAAATGAATACCACAGCATGGAATGTGCGTCTCTGTTCTAGGGTAACCATATGGAAACTATCTAGCATACTCCTATATGAGATCATATAGGGGTATGCATTATGTTGTCGCACATACAAATATCGCAGGAACCTCTTTTGGACTTTTTCAACAAGGTTTATATTCACTTCAGCTTTGGGAGCCCATATTATTGAAGCATATTCAAGATGCGGTCTCACTAATGCATTGTAAAGTTTGATAATAGAGCTAACATTTTTAAAGTATTTTGTATTTCTAATAACAAAACCAAGAATTTTATAAGCTTTGTTTACAATGTAGTTCAAGTGGGTGTTATATTTTAGGTTAGATTGCAAATAAACTCCCAGATCCTTACACTAATTTTTCCTAGGAAGTTCAGCGCCCTTTATACTATAAGTATTTCTAATGAATTATATATACCTAATATCGCAGTATCTATAGCAAGTAAGTGATGCTACAATTACACTCATACTAATAAAAGAATAATAGTACAAGAAATGAAAAAGGCATCAGTATCAAACCTAAATGAATAAGAGTATTCCGTCAGCTAGATATTCTTGAACACAATAACAGTGGCGTTCCTACGGGGGGGGGGGATAAGGAAGATATATCGCCCCCCATGGCCCATATGCCGATAGAAAAACATCAGTTATAAACTTATAAAGTGAAAATAAGATGGGTTGAACTTTAGTGGGATCATTACATTCCACTTGTCATAAATGATCAGAAATATTCTTATTCTTTCAGTTTCATTATTCAAATAATTAGTTACTGACTTATGCGTAGCCAAATTGGTCGATTATGAATATGCCACAGAAATACGTCAACATTTCTGCGAATAGTGCAGGCATGTTTTTTCAGTGTAGCTCGAATGTTCTTCCGCTGGGATTTTCGGTCTTGGGCTGTGATTCCCCGATATTATCCAGTCAGTTCGTTCATCCTGGGTTATCAGTTATCGATAACAAGTAAGAGGTGCAGTTGTTCGAATGTTCAATGTTTACCTACCTTTAGAGTATATAATTAGATAATGATGAATCAAAGTGATTTATCTAGATTTTATAAATGAAAATTCAACGATGATGATGATAGGGTGGCTTCTACATCAGCAACTGGGACTTAACTTGCTTCTAAAAATATTCTGTACATTGCCAGTATCCACTGCGACACCAGAAAGAACCTTCTCTACTTTGAAACGCATCAAAACCTATTTGAGGAACACTACCGCCCAAGTGAGGCTTAATGGACTTGCTATGCTATCAATTCATAGAGAGGCATCTGTTGAAGAAATTATTGAAGAAATTGCTCTCAAACCAAGGCGCTTAGATTTAATTGTGTGATGTTCAAAATTATCGTTGTTACCAATAATCTTGAATAAAAATATGTTTTAAAAAAAATCATTTCCCCCCCCCCAAGGTACACTTCTGGGTACGCCACTGCACAATAATATGTTTCTTTGATGAGATGTTGTTTCACAGATCTCATAAAATGAATTGGAGATACAAGATTTCTGAAATCGACTGGAAGATGGTTATATAATTTGACAGCATTATAAATCAATGACTTTTTAGTTAAGCTCGTCGATGGAATGGGGAGTCTTAAAGTGTTGTTTTGGCGAGTATAACTAACAACCGCATCATATATGACGATTAACTGTTGTGAACTAAACATACAGTTTCGAGAATGAAGAGGCATGGAAGTGTTAGGATTTTGTGCTCTGAGAACAGGTTTGCATGATACTCTAGGTGCCACTTTGTAGAGGTATCGAATAGCTTCTGGAGGATGAAGATCGATTTGAAATTCTGTTCACTGCAAATGCCCCAGAAAGGTATTCCATATCTTATGTGTGACTCAAACAAAGCATGGTATACTAATTTGGACGTTGCCATGCCTAGTTCTCCAGACACTATCCGCAATGCATAACACCCAGACGCCAATTTTTTACCCAAAAGTTTCACGTGATTTTTTAAAGTTGAGTTTGTCATCCAGATGGATACCAAGAAATTTAACTTCGTTCTTCTGTTCAATGAAAACTTTATTTCCTGTTCACAGGAGATAAGAAAACTCCCCCACCTGGCAGCACTGGAACAAAACCTCAATGCAGATAATTTTGCAGTGTTGCATTTTTGGTAATGGCATACTTTGAAATATAAATATGACTTGGCAAAGACGTGTCCTCTCTGATTCACCTATAATTCTAACTCAACAATAGGTCATCTCTTCAGAATTCCTTCTGCTATAGGAGATAGGAGCTAATAGAGTGAAAATGTGTACAACAAACACGACCATACTCATTGCTCTTTAGAATTCCTCAAATGTCTACTATACACACGAATCACGATCACATTTCGTCAGCATTTCAGACCAGTCCTCCCGTTTGATTGGACGTTTCCAAGTTTCTTGCCTTCCTTTACAAACTTCATAAGTGTTTTTATTAGCTCCTTTGTTGGCTCATATTGAAGATGGAATCCTAAATGTGAGTAACTAAGTTCCCACATAATCTACCTGTAAAATATTATTCCTTTCTCTCGCTGCAGTATTTGTGCATTGTACAAAAAACACGATTCGTAGGCCAAAATAGTTTTGAAAAACTATTTCGAACCTATGTCAACAAATAGGAAAAGTGAGTTTGTTTCAACTTTTTTACGAATTCTGATAAAATCATAACTACACAGTATATATGCATAAAATGTCTTGTTATTTTGATATCAAAATTGGTGAATGAGGGAGAGGCCGAAAGAAGACGAGACTCGACACTAGACTACAGGTAATTATAATTAGGTATAAATTTCATAATTTCTTCATTGAATTGAATTTCCTTGACAGGATGAATTCTCTGGACGAATTAATTATAATATATCATTTCCATCATCTCTATCGAGCTTATGTTGTATCCAGACGCAAAAAAAGTAGCTGTATTGGGCAAAGCCTTTTCAAATGCTGAACAATGTATGCAGATGATTACAGCCTCGTTCGATAAATGCGACTGAATGACCCTAATAAATATTTCAATTTCTTTCGTGTAACGTGCCTTTAATTTGATGAACTTCTATCAAAATGATGGGACCAGAAATAAAGAAATTATATTTGACATCAGAACCCTTATCTCCTGCAAATTTTGTCGATTGAGTATGAACGTCGAATTCTGTTGGAAATTTCATATTTTGCAATTCGCATACCTTAAATCATTTATTGTTATCTACTAACCTTGAAACAGACCATGAGGGAGAAGGGCATAGTCAGACAGACCACTATCCATGACAAAACGATGAGAATCTTGCCGCATGTTTTTGATTCGTCTTCCACTTGTTCCGCTGAAATTAAAAAAATAATTATTGTCCAACTATTATTTGAAGTTATAGAATGGGATTTCTCAACAGTTTGAATCAATATACAGTTAGCACGTGGCAGCTAAAAGTTGAAACCTTCACGTGCTCACTACATACATAACATACATAACCAAAAAATCAAAGACCATAGCACAGTTGACATAATGATGAAATAAGATTAGGAGCTTCAGAAATATCAGTTATTCAATAATTCATAAATTCTCAATCAAGTATTGGTAATATCCCTAATTAGCAATAAAAATTCAATTATCTCAAAATGTTCCATTATGATTTGTGGCTTATAATGAATTTGTGTAAATAATAATTATATGAATTCACACTAGAGGACATTTGAATCGGTGAACGTGACAACCCCGCGCATGACTTGTGGGCGTGGTCTTGTTGGTTATCAGCATTCAGCACAATATTGCCAAGTTTCCAACATTCACATGATATTTTGTTATGGAGAATAAGAAATATTTGGACATGCTGGTTGCTCGAAAAAGTCGAGAATTATGTCTAATGTCATGAGTTCTTTCTATCATGTTTTATTCAACGACAGTACGCAATCATCTTTTCGATAACGATTCGACGTATCGCCAAAGGGCGGCCATGAAGGTTCGTTTGAAATGAGACCTGAAATTCAACGATTTTAAACAACGCATAGACTTATTATTTACATAATAACAGTGTGGGAAGTGTTGCAAAAATTATTTTAGGTTCTCAAGGACACAGTGGAGTAATTGAATACCACCAGGAAAGTTTAGGCTTCATCATCAGATGTCTAGGACTGGAAGGTTAATTTATGAAGGAATATAATCACGATAGATCTATGTACTATCATGTTCTTCATGAATAAAGACGATTATTATTATTATTATTTTATGATTATTATCTAAATGCTGTGGGTACCTAAAAGCACCCACCTGCACAATATGAGATTGGAGGGATTTTGGAAACAATACAAATTGTCACAAAATCGACTTCTTCTTCTCAGCAATACTGACATCTCATGATTCATGTTCTCACAATAAGCTTCCCAATTCTGGTCCCTCCGCGGTGATCATACAAAGTAGATAGTAAGATATTGCAAATAGTTATTTTCCAAAAAGCAATATTCCCTATTTTCATACAAGCATAATTGATTTCGCGATTGGGCTCCTGACATCACACTATATAACAGACACTTTTTGACCCTATTTTCACAGAGCTATATTATAAAAAAAAGGTTGGTGATAGTGTACAAGATTGGATTGAAACTTTCAACTGCTGAAGTGTGAATTTTGCCACGATTAAACCTGGTATCGACAGGTGAAAATTAAATCGCTTTATTCACGTATCATCATTAGATTATCCGATTTTCCACTTGAATAGGCAAATTGTATGAGCTCCTAATGAGCATATGTCATGTTCGATGTTCGAAGGCTCAAAGGGACAAGACTGAAACTCAATCAAGACTATATATTCCCGAAACATTGATTTGATAGGGCTTGATTAGTGGTTTATTCGGTAATATGCATCAGGTCGACACACCAGATGTTGAGGGGTTTAAATGTCAGAAAACTAAATAGCTAGTCTTCAAATTTCCACATGCATGCAGCATAATTCATTTGAATGCCAGCTGATATTTGGAAGGTTCAGAAGCCAATCAGTGTAAGCCAAATTTTTCTTTAAAATGATTTACGTATTGTTGCCTGTTTCACATTGATCAGTCTTCCTGCTGATAATACAATTGAGTCATCATTTTCATAGTCTAACCATTGATGCCAGCACTTATACTGAATATATCGGAATACATGTATAAGTTTGTTCTGGTGCTACTCAGTGTAAGTCAGGTTTGACCACAGGATTAGGAGTTCTCATTGAATCTATCATGAACAACACGTTTTCTACAGGTATTTCGACTTGCATTTCAAACCTCCATCTAAATATCTATGAAAGTTTTGCTGGAGAAGACATGTGTGTGATTACTTTTGATTTGAAGAAAGCTTTTGCATTTCCAGAACTGAGCACCTCTGTCGCTTATTATAAATTGAACATGTAGGTATATTCATAACTCGAGAGTTCATATAGTTTCAATGATAATAAAAAATACATGTTCGTTGGGTTGAGACTGAGGGCTTTAGAAGTCCCTAAGAAGTTGCAGCTTGACTTGTGAAGCATCTTAAAGAGCAACATGCCAAACATTGTCAAATCATGTATGCAGATTCTTGCACTGGAAAAAATAGGAATATTAAATTGAGTAAATATTTGCGAAAGCTATTATAGACCACAAATTTCTAGTATTGAGCCATAGTTACCTGCCAAACGATGCTGATTTTTGTTTGGGTGAATCCAAAGCAATTAAGAAAGTGTTTATTTTTGGACCGAGGGATTGTATACATTCGATAGCCACTGCTGAAAGCTCCAGAATCCATTTCAAATAAGAGAAATTGAATGACATGAATTTCTTTCGACAAAAAACTGGAATATAATATCTCCAACAAAAAGACCAATACTGAAGGGGGTAAGGTCAACTGGTTGAAGATAAAATGGCTAAGATATGGCAAAGAGTAACCACATTCCATTGTCCATAAAGGAATGTAAAATGATAAATGTTCATTCTTTGAGATAAATATCAAAACAATCTTCAGAAGGAAGGAAAACCTCCCAACTTGTGCGATATTGCTTGAGATTCAATGTATCCAGAATCCAGACCGAGGAACCTAGCAGAGAGATGGGAAAGAAGCACAAGCTTGATCTCTTGCCATACATTCCACCTTATTATCATTCATTATAAAAAGGTTTGCCTACAATAAACGAAAGAACACTAACTTCAGCTTCAACAGCAAATGAAATTACTCGTGATAGTGACATAGTGATGCATTTGTAGATCAAGTACATGAAAGTGTTCAGTGTAATATAAACTCAACTCATTTTTTTTTTTTCGTTTCTATGCGAGTTTTTTCGAAGATTTCTGTAATGTTCACTTAGTTCCAATAGGAAATACGTCATTTATGTATTTGTTTTCAATAAAAAGTCTGTTTGAAACCTATATAAGAAGTGGTATTTTTCATATGTAATAATTCAAATAAACATCTCATTTTACTCATTTGATGACTTACACTGATTGGCTTCTGAACCCTCCATTTGTCTGTGGAAGCTTGAGATGAATTTTCTTGATAACCTCGATAACTCGATTTGTTTTTATGGCATATCTTTCTTTGGCAAATAGCCTACTAAATTTTGAATATGGACCAAGTTCCGCTATTTTTGCTGCAGATGAAAATGATACAATAATTGTTCGTACACTTCCAAAGATTGAATATGTAGATACAGGCAGTATTTTTACTCACTTATATAAGAGAATTCTATCAAACCACATTTCATATATTATATGGTTTGCTAGAAGCATACAATTAAAAATATCGATTATCGTATTCAACTTCAAACTGCTGAAATTCAATGTTGTTCATGTGATGAAATTATCTAATTGGTTGGGTAACTATACCCTTATACCATTTTGTTATTTCAGTTCGATAAATTGAACATTATTCCACTTGAAACCGGTATTTCCACTGATGAAAATATTCGAAATGAAGGTGTGAACGTCTAGGAAATTATAAAACAATTTTCGAACAAACTGAGTCGACACAAACTTTCCTCTCGAAAATATTGGAGTTCCTAAGATGAAAATTCTCCCAGCGGAGTCTTCTCAAGTTGCGATCAGGTGAGTTTGCACCAGTATTCGGCATTATTATGTCCAAGGCGAGAATTTATTTGACAAACGATATTTCAAAATCGAATATACTAAACTAATTTCCGCCCAAACTTTCCGTTCAGGCCCAAAGTCACTCAAGAAGTTTATTCTTCTAAACTTGGAGAATCGCGTTCCACTAAAAAAGTTGACATGTCACGGTGCATTGGCAAATTTATTTATCTAATCACTGAGTCGGAGTAGGTGTTTGCACCTTTCTTCAGGACACAAAGGTGTCAATTTACTCCCACGGGAGGAAAAATATATTACCTTCTTCCTGATTCCTTCGAAGAGATGTATACCTATAAAATCCGTTTCTCAAATGAACAGTGTCTTCATCACTTCCTCACAGCACATATTATGATATTCCGAATTCACTCAATCAAAATTCTCAAATGCATCTGAAGAATTAACAGATTCATCATGACAAAATCATGACATCCATGGCATGCTGAAAGTTTGTATACGGTGGATGGCCTATTAGAAGTATGTAAAGAACGAAAAGACAGAACGTTCTGAAAATGGGGATGCTTTGATAATTGAACATTCTCTATTCGTCTGAAATATTTTCATCGATACAGTGTTGCCACTTCTATCAGAAACAACTAGCAACTTTGTTATTTCAAATGGAACACCCTGTAATTCATTGTATTTTCAGTTCCTTCCTGATTTTGATTCTTCATGCTCTCTTTTCGGATATTCATCAGATATAATTCATTGTTCGTCGTGGCATATAGCCAGGAAAGTTGTTGTTTTCTATTGGATGAACCGAGACAGAATTTATATTTTCATCACATAGACTCATAGAGAATGTGAATTCTCAATTTATTTCTTTATATATATATATAGGGTGTTCCATTATATATGTGCAGGACTCCAGGATAGAATAGCTCGTCCAAAATATATGAAAAAAGTTTCCATCAACTTACCCTCTAAAATGCACCATTTTCGAGATGGGTGTATTGGCTTTTGCGAATATCTCTGGAACCGTTTATCTCACACGAAACAGCTTTTATATACATTTTTTACTCAGAATACTCTATGTTTTGAATGGACATAGTCAGTGTTTTTCTCCCCAAGTTCAACGCCACTGAAAAAAGTACAGTTTTGGGCCTTCCATTTGAACGGCCAATGTTTCCTACACAAGAAAGATAATCGTGGTCAAAAGCTCTGAAGTTGACCGGTTTTGAGAAAAATCAACTACTATGTTGAAAATCATGGTTAATAAAAATGGATGTTTTTAATTAAT